GATATTAAATTTATTTACATATAATTATAAAATTATAAAATTGAAATTATAAAATTGAAATTTTTAATTTAATTAAAATATAATTTAATTTAATTAAAATTGAAAAAATATAATAGAAATATAGTATATATATATATAATATAGTATTGCGCATAGAGGAGCTTACTTTCAACTAAAAGCATGAAATGATTGTTAAATATAAAAACAAAGGAACAAAACAAAGAAAGAGAAATTAGAACAAATAATATTATGAGTACAATGAAAGTATATCTGTTCTGTTTCTTTAGTAAAACAAAGAGAGAAGAAATAACTTTTCAGTTTTCTCAAGGTAAACTACATAGCTTCTCGAGGTCATCGTGATTGATAAATTGTAACCTTTCTTTTCTCAGTTCGTTTAAAACAATCTTTCTTCAAATGTGACATTGAAAAAATAAAATTAAGGATAACAATGTTAACTTGATATCTAATATATATATATATATATATAATAATATAATCGGTAAATATGAATTCGCGAATTACATATATAATAAGATATTCATACACAAAGTATTTTAATATTAGATGTGTTTGCATGTGATTTAAATGTTTTGTTAATATAAACATATATATAAGCAAGTATATATCAAGAATTATTGTATTTTTATCCACAGAGATATTGAGTAAGAGTAGGAATAGGTCCTTTGGTGACTGATTTGGACGATAATAATCTTTATTGATAAATATTTATCGATAATAGTTTATATATATATCTAAATCCAATAACAAATAAATAATAATAAAATATAAAGTTATATTAAACTGGATATTCATATAAAATATTCTAAATTGAATTGATATCATTTATTTTAAAAATTGTTAACATTATTTTTACGAACCTACTTATGTGTTAAAAATTTTTTCAAGACGTTTTTTTAAAGAGATATCAAAAGTCTTTAGTTCTGATTAAGACATTTCATTGTAAATGTTATCGCAACTTATAATATTACGAATAGAAAGCCGATTCGACATTGCACGCTATCTATATGTATGTATATAGATATACATATATACAATCCATTGAAAAAGATGATTAGTAGTGCGTCTACTTTTATAATTACACGAAACATCTGAAATGCTTTCAGTTGAGTGAATAGATAACTAAACGAACAGATATCGACACATTAACGCCGCTACATTCAAATACTTATTCAAATGGTGAGCAGATAAAAACAATTTTATAGAACAATCTTACTATTCTAAAAAATATAAAATAATTCGTTATAATTATAATGATTACTTTTAATATTTTTTTAATTACATGATCAGAAATATTATATGATAAAGAAAAAATTTAAGATAAAAAAAACTTTATCTTAATATTAAAGTATAATTGAAGTTGATTTTAGTTCAATATAATTTAATTCAATAAATCGATCAATAAAGTAATTTTTCCATTATATTTATAATTTTTTAATATATATTAATAAATAAATGACAAACTATTCTATATATATAATTTTATATAAAATGATAGAACATGTAAAAATTCATTAAAATAATGAAAATTCTCTTTTTACAAAAGAAAATAAAGAAAAATTTCGTTAATTTAAAATATTTTTTAATATTAAAAAATATATTTTTTTATTAAAATTGTTACAAGTGTTAAATCTATTATCTAAAATTCGATTTAATCTGAAATATGCAACATTTGATATCGCCATTTAAATTGCGAAATTTTTATATTAATATTAAATGTTAACAACAATTTTAAATAATGTATCTAATTCAAATCTTTTTATGCAATTTTTTTACTTAATTTTAATATTAAATTTTAATTTAATTTAATTTTAATAATCATTAATATTTAATTTTCATGGATCTTCAATTTTTAAATTTTTACAATTAATTTATTATTAATAATTTATTATTCACATATTTTGTCAACAATTATTATATATTACATATATAGTCAATATAAGTTAATATATAATTTATTGTAGTAATGAATATAAAATAATTAAAATTATTATTTATTTTTTTTAAAGGGAATAAAAATATGTATTTATTTTTTATATTTAAATGTTTTTTAAATAAAAACATTTGTATACTTTATAAAATTCGTCTCAATTAAAATTATAGAATTTAATAAGTTTTGTAAATAATATGAATTCAATATATTATTTATAAATATTATATAAAATAATATAAATAAATTAATTAAAGCAAATTTTAGAATATTTGAATGATGCTCCTATTGCATTAATATTATTTACAATTAATTTGTATAATTTCTGATTGTATAATTGATGTTCGATATCAAAATTTTAACTTTAACGATAAAATATTGTATCAATATCATTTTTTTTAAAAATAAAAAATCTATTTTTATTTATAATTGTAAAAAACTTGAAGCTCTAATTTGAAACTTGTACATGTAAAAAATATACATATTTTTTATTTTCAAAAATTTATGAAGTAAAAATTTTATCAATATAAAAAAATTGTATATATATTGTATATATATAATTTACTTATTTATAAATTTACAAATTATATTTTATAAATATATATAGGGTACTCATAAAAATGTGGAGGATAGATTCTAGACATACAAAACGATGAAAAAAATTCATGTACATATATGATAAAGTTTACTTAACGAATTATAAGCATTTTAAATTTGTATTAGATAGACTGAGATGAAACAGAGAAAACGTTCAACTGTGCACGATAATACCGTATTGCAATATCGGAATGAAAATAAATACACTAATATTTTTTTATATACAATTGATTATTTCAAATGAATTTCAGTATTATATAATTTATATATAATTTCAGTAAGATAATATATAATTTACATTAATATAACTATTGTAATATAACTATTCAACATTTTTATATCGTTTAAAAAAAAATTTTAATTATGCATATTGAAATCTATATAATTTATAATTTAACAGAAACTTAACTCGGAATTTATTATAGCAAAGTTATAGTTATTATAGCAAATTCTATTAATATTTGAAATTACGATGATTATAAATTATTTTATTTAAAATCATTGATGAATTGTTGTATTTCATTCAACGTATTTGTCGAAATCCATAGAAACAAATCACAACACATTTCTATAAAATTTCAAATTAGAAAGGTTGTGTTTTTATATGCACAATTGTTTTTTTAATTATTTTCACATGTACAAAAAAATCCGAAGTAATAATGATACTTAAATCATGTCGCATTAAATTTTGAATTTCAGATTATTAAACATTCAATCAAATTACATAAATTTTTATCTTTATTTCATTTGCATTAGATATTTCTTATTCTTATGTAAGAGAAATAATAATCGATTTGGATATTACCTTTAATAATATGAATCAATATTACACATTAATATATCATATATCCATAAAAAATACATATCGCAATTGCTTTTTTTATGCATGTTCGAATGAATATATTATAAATTTACTAATTTTTTTTTTATATTTTTATTTCTGATATACGTTACACGAACATTATGAACAATCCGAATTCAGGACAAAGCAATACTATCTTACCAATGGGAAAGATTATTGATCTAGACTTTCGTATTTTTATACATATAAAAATAATATTCGATTTTCTATTTTATTTTTCTTTTTATCAAATCTCTTTTAACATCCATCAGCATTCAATTGTTAGCAACACTATTTCAGTAATACATATCGCGGAATTAAGTTTAGAGTTTGATAAAATAATACATAAATTTAAATATTAAATTTAAATATTTGTTTAAAATAAAATTTTAATTAAATAATTTTCATATAAAATGGAATGGTACAATAAAAAATATTTAAATTTAAATATTAAATTTAAATATTTGTTTAAAATAAAATTTTAATTAAATAATTTTCATATAAAATTGAATGGTACAATAAAAAATAATAATCTAAATAATTTTGTTCAAAGAAATGTAAATGTGTATAAAAAGTATATAAAAAAAAATATTTAATATGCAATAACATAACATAAAAAAAAAAATGCAATGCTTATATGATTTTTTTAGTGGAGAGATTTAAGATTTACAAAGATATTAGTATGACATGATAAAATATAGATATTGAACTATATCGGCTATTATTTTTTTTTGTTTAATAATTTCATATCGAAATAAAAAATTTGAATTGTATGAAATAAACACAATGAATTCAAATGAAATAAACACAAGATTTTCAACTGATGTTTTGATCGATGAATTTTAAATTGATTCAAATATTATTAGTGACTTTTTTGTACATGTGAAGATAAGCAAATTTATGTGTAGAAAAACACATTTTTTTAATCTGAAATCTTATGAGATTGTATTTTGACTCACTTCTATAGATTTCGCCAAATTGAATAGACAAATTGAATATTATGCAATAATTCAGTCATGAATTTAAATAATATATTTGTAAATATATATATAATGATTACTTATAGATTTAAATAAAGTTATGTATTAATATTTTAGAATTTACTAAAATTTATTCGAAGTAAGTTTTTGTTAAATAAGGAGTTACATTAATACGTACATTATATTACATTATACTGAAATTCATTTGAAATAATCAATTGTATATAAAAAAAATATCAATATATTTACTTTCATTGAAAAGCTCTATTATACAAGAGACATTACAATACAATATTATCGCTCATCCAGCTAAGCGTTCTCTCACTCTATTTAATATAAACTTAAAATGCTTATAACTCGTTAATTAAACTTTATCATATGTATACATACATATAAACTTTTTTCATTGTTTTAATGTCTAAAATCTATTCTTCAAAGGAATCCTATATTTTACTTCATATATTAATATTTTTTATGTACAAAAATTCTTTATAACATTAAAATTTTTTAAATTTAAATGTAATTGATAATGTGTAATTGATATCATAAAATATGAAAAATTGGTAAAGTAAAAAATTAATTTAATTAAAATTTTAACTTTCACTCAGTATAGTAAATTATATTTAATTTTTAGAATCTCGATTGTTGATAAAGGAAAACCATGTCTCTGTTAGAAAATAACTCATTTATTCAAATATTGACGACAACTTTCCATCCGCATGATGAAAAATATGAAGAATATCATCACAATGATGAAAATATGTCGAATGTATTGATCGCAAAAGGAATCACAATGATTATCTTATGCATAGTAAGCACTTGCATGGGTATTTTACCTATGCAAATGGCAAAGTGCTTAAAATGGAATATTTCTAATACTGAAAATCCTAGGTATTAACATAATTAATAATAAATTAGATGATAAAAAAATTTTTTTATTTTGTAATCTCTTTTATTCATTAATAATTAAGTTAATTCAAATTGTTTATTTATATTTCTATTTTGTTGTAAATATAAATCCTAATCAAAATAAAAAAAATTAAAAAGACAAAACAAATGTCAGATTTATATTATTTATGAAAAATAAATTTCAAAATTTTATCAATTTGATTATAACATAATATGTATTATAATAAGTATTAACTTATCAAAGTACTAATAAAAATGAAAATGAAATAATTTTATATATGAATATAAAAGCATAAATGTAATAAAAATCGAAAAAATGAATTGATAAGTTAGTATTAAAGATTGATTTATTTTTGCTGTAGGTCAACAAAATTAGTAAGCTTTCTTCTTGGATTCGGTGGTGGTGTTCTTTTTTGCACGATGTTTCTTCATTTATTACCCGAAGTAAAGAAAGGACTAGAACATCTTACAAAAGAAGGAAAACTTCCAGAATTTAGTTTTTCCTTATCTGAAATGCTTACCTGTACTGGGTGAATGAAATAAAATTAATTTATTTTTTTTTATTACATTTAAAAGAAAGATTTTAAAATTTATAAAAATAATATATAAGAATTTAATATTATGTTATATATTCTTAGTTTTTTTATTATGTATTTGGTCGAAGAATCAGTACATTCATATTTGCGGAAGAAAACAGCACACAAAAAAGAATTTTCAAAGAAAGATGTTAGTAGGAGTACTAATGAATTAATTGAAAATGGAGAAACTTTGCCGAATTTTGTTAGTGGACATTCACATTAGTAAGTAAGAAATATCTAACAATCATTTTATTTCAAATTATATGGAACGAAAATATATATGTTATAGTAACAGTCATGGTCATTCGCATCATTTACCAGTCATAATAGATGAGAAACATGACTTTATCATAAGTTCATTAAGAGGATTATTAATTATTTTGGGTTTATCTGTACATGAATTATTTGAAGGACTTGCTATTGGATTAGAAAGTTCAGCCTCTTATGTTTGGTATGTTTGTTTTTTAATAAACAATGAAATAGAAATAATATAAAATATTAAAATTTCCAATATTGTTTGGATATTTAAAAATCTTTATTTTTATTTTTATTTAAATTGAAAAGAAAATTAATAGAAGATTTAAACCAAAAATTTCAAAAGAAATGTTTGAAACAAATCTATTTGAATCGTCAATTATACAATAGATTATATTGCTGCATAAATGTTAATAACGTTTTAATTTAAAAACTAACTTTCAGATTTGATCAAAAATAATTTAATACATTTAAATTTCTAATTTTTGTTTATTTAATAATCATCAATATAATTATCATTATCGCTAAGATGAACAAAAATGATTTCGTGAAAATTAATGAAATAAATAATGTTTTCTTTATTTAAAAATTGTAAATTGTAATAGATAATAGTTAATGAATATTAATTCATAAATAATATGTTTAACATTTACAAGGCAAAGATTTACAAAAATTTTATAATAACATATTTTAATAAAAGTATTAATTTCGTTTTCATTTTCGTTTTTGTTTTCAGGTACATGTTTGCAGCAGTAGCGGCTCATAAATTCGTGATAGCATTTTGTATTGGCGTAGAATTAATTACTTATAATACCAAACGATATCTTTCGATAATCTACATTTGCACATTTGCAATTGTTTCTCCTCTAGGAATTGCCATAGGAATTTTTCTAGTTGGTGACGAAAATGCCGCCACCAGTGGCATATTACCAGTATTACTGCAGGTATATATACAAAAACATTTTTATACTTTTCATCAGTAAATAATTAAATATGTTATTTAAATACATATAGAAAATAAAAATAATATAATATTATTATATATATATAATAATATTTTTTATATATATAATAATAATAATAATAAAAAATATATATAGTATATATATATTACATATATATTATATGTAGTACACATATAATATACATATATATATTATTAATATATGTATAGTAATATATATATATATATATATTCTACATATATATATTTAATATATATTTATATATAATTAATATAGGGTTTGGCTTCTGGTACTTTATTGTATGTAATATTTTTCGAAATTCTTCAAGAGCATAGAAGTGGACTCAATCAATATTTATCGATTCTATTTGGATTCATCTTGATGTTTGGATTACAGTTGTTAAGTAAGTACAAAATTTATTTTCAAATAAAAATTAATATTTAAAAATATTTATAAGATATATTCTTATAAACATAAAAATATTCTATCAATTCTAATATATATAAAGTAATATAATATAAAAATATATATAATATAAAAAGTCTATTATATATATATATATATATATATATATATATATATATATATATAATTAAATATGAAATTATAAATATGAAATATTTATAAATATTTATAAATATGAAATGTATATATAATTAAATATGAAATTGTTCTTCTGTTAGAGTTATCGCATAGATATTTGTCTCAATAATGGGAGAAATATTCGAACCTAATTAAATTCTCATCCAATAATCAAAACCTTCTTTATAAACATTAATTTATGATTTTAGAGAAACTAAGAAAATAAATTAAATATTTCTGACACAACGATAAACAATCATGATAATTTATAATTATATGTGCGAAAATTATCGTTTGTTTAAAAAAAATACAATTAGATTATTAAAGTAAAAAAAAAAATTCTACATTAAAATTAACTTTTTCGAAATTATATTTGAATAATTATTTAGACAATCAAAAATAAACTATTAATAATAATTATTATTATTTAATATGCATTTGAATAAACTTTATTGATTTAAATCAAATTTTTTTCGCTAATGTAATTTATAAAAAAAATTATAAAAATATCAACTAATAAAATAATATATGAGTAACTTAAATTCTTATTGATAAAAAATGTATATTCAATTAGATTATAAAAATGTGTCAAAAAGTATTTGAAAGGATAATTTTAAAACTAACTTACAGCAAAACAAAAGCTTTTTTTGTATCATGTTTTAATAATTTAACTTTTATTATTATAGTACTTATATAATTGGAAATGCCTTTGAAGTTTGAAATATTTATCCAGTGCATTTAATTCATGATTATTCATAATATAATATGAATATTTACGCTGCAAATTCCGAATTGAAAATAATTTAATATAAGTTAATATAAGTTTAAGTTACACTTAAAGAAACCAAACCAAAGGAATAGGAGAAACACGTGCAATATATATATTTATTTTTAATTCCTAACTGACTTAATTTTTATTATTATTATTAACTTAATTATTGTATAAATATTATTGACTTAATTTTTATTTTATTATTATTATTAAATTTTTAAATTTATTTATAATTAAATAAATTATTAAATTAACATAAAAAATATATACTCATAATTCATATTCTTAATTTCTATTTTTTTCTATTTTTAATAATTTTCTATCTATTTTTAATAATTTTCTAATTTAAAAATATAAATAAAATTTGCAAACAAAATTACAATAAATAATTCTCAATCATAAATGAAATAATATACCTATTATAGAATATGTCAAATTTTATCAATAATTTTTGTATTAATTTCATCTTCAACTAGTAATATTAATATATTTTTTTAAAATATATATTTTTTTAAAATTATCGAACATCTAATCTCACGACGAATCGATCTAGCAATCAATGAAAATAATAATCGCTCAGCCCAATACTTCAAGCGCGCAATGCTTGCAATCGTTCATTTTTCTCCACGATTGTCAGTATATAGTATCTGTAAGTCATGTTCGCTATCAGGTCACCAAACAGTCGCGTTGAGTTCATGCATCTGCGAGAAACATTTACATACACGTTAGCTGTGGTACGTAACTGTCCAACACTACAGCAACACGCGTCAACACAAAAGGGGAAAGGAGAGAAACGAACATCGGTCTGGTAGGAAGCAATGTGTCTAATGGAAGGGGAAGAGAGCAGGAAACAGCACGGCTATGTAAGACGCGAGGGGATCATGAGTCGAGTAGGCAACTAGCCCTGAGTATTCGATTCACCGTCGTACCGCATGGAACGGACGTAATTTATTTTAACTAGGTTCATTTATAGTTTTTTTAATTTTATAGTTTTTTCAAATCCTTTTCGCGATTCTCAAAAATAAATTTTCTCACAAGCTCACCAGTTAAAATATACGATTATAAAATATATTTAGAAAGTATCATTAACAATTAAATAATCATTTCAAAACTATATATTGATCTGTTCACATTTTTCAACCAAAAAATAGTGTTGCAATACAAAGTAAAGAGTGTAATTTCTTCAACAATTTGGATCTAACACATATTATTTTACAGAAATTTTACTTCACTAAAATATTTAAATTTCATTTTTAATACAGATTATAATTATCATTATTTTATTAAAGTTTTAATAGAATTATAGTTTAATAGAGTTAAAGTGAAAAGGTTGGTAAATAAAATTAATATTAAATTAATATTAAAACTATCAAAGCAATTTAATTTTACAATTATTAAAAATGTTTTTTTTTTTACAAATATTTTTGAAGAAATTAATATTGATAATATAGTATATATAAAAAAAGATTAATATTATATATTTATATATTTATTATATATTAATATTATATATTTTTTTATATATTATATATATATATCAATATATTATATATATATATAATATATATTAATATATATAATTATATACATATATATATATATATATATATATATATATATATATATATAATACATTAAAATAATATAATTATTTTTATAATTCTATTTTAATTCTAATCATCTATGTAATGCCTCCAAATATTTGCATACTAAAGATCGGTAATTTTTATATATATATAAAAATTTTTAAAAATATATAAATATTTTAAAAGAATATGAAAAATCTGAAATAGTATACAAGAATTAACTCTTTGATTAAATTTCATATTGCGTTAATATTTTACTAAAATTATCTGGTCTTATCGTTAAATGTCGTTCACCAGTGCCTCATACGTGTGTTAAGTGACAAAGTGAATACTTCGTTCGATTGATTGTCTGGACAAAGACGAAAAAAGTGCGAAACATTTGACAAATTAAACGTCAAGAAGAGATAGAAAAATAAAATATTAATTGAACAAAAGAAATATGATAAAGTGATAATTAAGAAAAAATAAAAGTAAAGAAGAGAAATCTCAAGATTGACTGATTATTGATAAGCCATTTATTTTGGATAATATATGGAATTGAGATAAAAACTTAAAATTCAAATTTATCTTTTAAAATATAACGAAAAATAAAAATGGAGGAAGCAACTACATCTACTGTTTTATTAGTAGCAAAGATAGGTGCAATGATTGGTCTTGGTTTTGGTTCTTTGCTTCTGGGAATGCTACCGCTGATTGTCGGACGTTACAGAATGAATCATCGTAAAAAACAACATTGTGGAATTTTCAGTAATTCCAGTACTTGTACATCGACATCAGTTTCAAACGCTTCATCCGCTAGTGTCATCTCTGGATCTGCAACGAGTTCACAAGTATGTTTTGAATCTTAGTACCAAAATTTCAATGATAAAATTGTAAAAGAATTCAATAATTCTTAATAGTTCTCAATTGATAGAAATATTTATTTGAAAATTAATCCACATTAAATTTTATTTCTATATCGAAATAAGCAAATAAATATATAATACTTCATATTTTTACTTCGTATTTTTCTTATATTTTATACTTTATTATATATTATAAACTTTATATAATTATTCCATTTATTTCTTTATATATCTTATTGATTATACTTTATCAATTGAGAATTTTTATTGAAAAGCCAACTTCTCCTATTTTTCTCATATTGATTTATTGTGGTAGAATTCTTGATTTTATAAAAAAAATTTATTTTCATAAACTAAATTAACAATAATATTAAATAAATAAAATATAATGGCAATAGTTCTATTTAATTAAACTTTTTCTCAATGATAAAAATCAAAGAAAAAGAAAAAAAATAGAAAGAATAAAATCGTTTTAAAGGACACGAAATGTTTGGCAAATTAGAAAATATAACATATACTCTTCAGGGTTTACAAACATCGTTGCTGCTCTGTTTTGGCGGAGGAGTTCTTCTCTTCACCACATTCTTACATCTAGCTCCAGAGGTTCGAATCAGCGTAGAAAGACATCAAACAAACAATCAACTACCTACTCTAGGCACGCTAAGTTTATCAGAGCTACTATTTTGCGCCGGATTTTTTCTCGTCTATTTCGTTGAGGAGGCAGTACATGCAGCGCTGACGGGAAAACCCGATTCATCGGAAGCGCTGCTATATAGAACAGTATCTGTGCGTAGATGTAATAATCAAACAAGTGCAACATCAACCACAATTGGATCGACCACCACAGTATCCACCACAATCAGGTCTACATGGAAAGAAGATAACAATGATTCAGAAGATAGCGAAAATAATTTAAACAAACGGCAAAACGACTTGGATGAATTTCACGATAGCAAACAAGAGAAAATGTTACCCACAATATTTGTTTTATCATCTCCTATAGGATTATCTTCCATAAAGCATAGTTCACAAAACAACATGAAGCACTTTTCTGATGTAGAATTGAATCATTATCCCAGAATGGAACATCATGAACATAATCATGTGACTATAACAAAAAAAACATCAATACAAGGACTATTAACAGTTCTTGCTTTATCTTTTCACGCAATTTTCGAAGGTTTAGCTGTAGGTTTAGAACCTTCTATTAGTTCTGTTATTTACCTGGCTGCTGCAATAGCTACTCATAAATTAGTGATTTCATTTTGTGTTGGTATGGAGCTTTATGTTGCTGGTGCTTCTACTAAGACTACTCTTGGATATCTAACAATATTTTCTATGGTAACACCAATTGGTATTGCCGTTGGATTAGCCCTTGGTCATTTTAAAAATGATAGTGAGAATTTAGGACCTACTCCAACAATACTACAAGGAATGGCCGCTGGAACATTGCTGTACGTGGTTTTCTTCGAAGTATTGGCGCGAGAGAGAGCTAACGAGAAAAGTGGCCTTTTACAATTAACTGCCATAATTATCGGATTTATGCTGATGTTGGGTTTACAAATCGCCAGTGAGTGTTTTCTGATCCGAAATTAAAGTGTATAATAAAATGATAATTTGTAAAGATGATATAAAAATGTTTGCAAATATCCATTTTTTTTTTTTGATCTCTAATCAATAATGAAGTTGAAATCATCCATATTCGTTTATTATCATATGAAACTATTGTGGTTTATATCTAATAGGAATCTATATATTTTCTTCTATATTTTTCTTTTTTTTTTTTTTTTTTTAGTTTAATACCTATCTTGAAAAAATTTTATTTCAATGCAGAATTCAAAACAAAAATTCTTTTAAAAATATAAAAATATGAAATTCTAGTTATTATTTTTTTTGCCATCAAAACATTTCTAATATATAATTATATAAGTTTAATAAATTATAATTAATTTCTTTATTTTTAAAAAATAATAGTATTATTATAGTAGTAATAGTATTGATTCTAAAATTTAAATAAGATATATTTTATTAGTACTACTCAATAGAATCATAAAAAAATTCAATTTATCATCATATTAACTGTTTATAACAATGGCCATTATTTTGATTTTCATCTTTCTTTTTTAAAATTATCAATTTCGGTGCAAATTTATTGCCAGTATGTCCTTAATGCAATCACCACCCATGTATTCTCGTAACACGTGAAAACTATTCTTATCGATTTAACAAAAAGTTATAATTATAAAAATCGTAAGAAATTGAATTGTATTATATAATATTCTCAATTTTATTTTTTAATCAAACTTTAATTTTTCATAAAAAAAGAATTAATTAATTAATGATATAGATGATTATTATAATTATAATATATTATTAATGTATATAAAGATTTTATTTACTATTCACTATTTCTTATAAATAAATATAATCAAATTTAAAATAAATTAATAATCTTTTAATTTAATTATGAGACTAAATAGTTTTAATTTAATAATCTAGATAGATTTAAATCATTTCAAAAAAACTGGTTACATAAATAGAATATAATTTTCTCATTTGTTGTCAATTTTTATTTCTTTCATACAATAATATTCCAATTGATATATCTTTTAATTGCAATTAGGATAATGATTCTGATAACAGTGATGGACAAATGTAATAAATTTCTGCTTTGCAATAATGTTATCTGTTGCAATAATTTTTCATTGAATCTTATCATTTGTATATAATATCACCATCATAATATCAAATATATCTATTAATTTCACAAAAATATGCACATATATATTTTTATCGACTAAATAATTTATATGCATAAATATATAATAATGTCTTTGAAGAATTAAAAAAGATCGATTTAAAATCCGATTTATATATATAAATAGTTAGATTTAAAATTTTTACTCAAGTCATTCGATATTGCTATTCATTTTAATAACAAGTTATTTAAAAGATTTAGGTTTGACAAGAATTTACAAGAACTTCAGAATAACAACTATTTTTTACAGAATTATGCAATTTGATTTCATGGTAAAAACAATGAATCTATTATATTAGAAATAATAAATTCTTTCTTCGATTTAATAGAATAGAGACAAGCATAATATAATAGGCTACTATTTGTATACAATTCATTGAACTTTAATGAATATTAAATTTTTAAACTCATTAGTTTAGTTTAACATAGTAAAGTTTAACTTTTTGCCGTTATAAATTATATTATTGTTTCTTTTTTTTTTGATTCATATGAAAATTTGTATTACATAAAATTATTTTAAATGGAGGAGATAACAAAATTGTTGTTCATGAAGAACAATTCTTTAAAAAAACTAATGTAATTTCTACTTTCTCCATTTCCATGTCAATGACTCGAGACAACGAACAATCAAACCAACTTTCGATTGCTTTCTCGACTATTTATTAAATTTATAATTACTATTTATGGAAAAAAAAATTGTAGAAGTTCTTTTCATGAATATATATGATATTTCAAATATCACTAAATATCGAACAATTTTCTTTATAATAAAAATCTTCTTTTAAATATTTAAAGATATAGATATTTTTTATAGATATTTAATATTTCTAAGTATAAAAAGTACTAAGAATATTTTATTTTTTTTATTTCTATTTATTTTTTATTCAAAAAAAATTTCTTTATTCGGCTATTCTTTATTCAGAAAATTATTCTTAGAATTATAAATTTGTTTTTAATCACAAAAAATTTATTAGGAAGTTTAAATTTATTTTTCTCTTAATAAGATTTATCATTTTTTCAAATTATTCAATGAAATTATTCTTAATTTGTTTTTAATTGTACATATTTATAAGTATATTATGAAACCTATCTACTAAATATAAATAAAACTTATCTATAATTATAAAATTCAAATAAATAAAAAATAGGCGCTAATAGCATTTATCTAAAAAATTATTTTTTCTATTTTTCAGCCGCGCATTCTCACTCTCATTCACATTCACATGACGATCATGCATATATGCACGATCATAATACCGAACATCATCAAGAAAATGATCACAATCACGAGTTGGATTCCCATGAACATATCTATTCAAATGAAATGAGCGAACGAATACTCACTGACAAAATCTATAAAGTGACAGAAAGTATTGCAGATACTATGAGCAACATTTTATCTTCAACGATAAAAATTCCAACTGATATGTCTTTCCAAACTAATAATAACGAAACAGTATTGCACGAAAATCGAAGTTAATATTCGTTAATAACAAAATATTGAATACTAAAACTAAAGTATTTGATATTTCTTTAATGGGATAAATGAACCTTGAAATTTATCTCATTTTGCAACGATGCATAGTACACGATAAGAAGATTAAAAAAGAAATTTTGAAACGAAGAAATGAAAAAGAACAGTATTATGAAACTTTGGTTTCAATCTAAAAAAGGAAAACGATACTCTTATTATACGGGTATTATATGCATATGTTACCAATTATGCAAATTATGCAGATATTAAATGGTAATATTTACGAAATATGGTAAAAATGTACATCTAAAACAACAATAAAATATCGCCATTGTCTTTGAATGGCCAAATGTGATACGATTCATAAGTATAAGTGTTTAATCGCGTAATTACTTAATTTCTTCTTAATGTAATATAAATGTAATTTACATCTGTCTATCTTATATCTATCTTTTATATTATAACTATAATACAAAACTATTTCTTAATTCTTTATATTAATATTGAAATACGTACAAGTATGTACATATGTGTTTACATATAATGCATATTATTATAACATTATAATAAAAGTATAATATTGTAATAAAATAGAATATATTTTGCTATTATCGATTCTTTATGTTCAAAAGTAACAGTTTTAAATTTTAATTATTATAAATATTAAATCATTCCAAGTAATATTATTTTAAAAATTTTCAATAAAAAAAATAATAGTTAATAATAATAATTAGTTACTTTTAATCAATAATATATTAACTATTTATAAAGATATTTCCTATGTTTAGATAATTTTTTAATTTATTAATTTAATTTTTTTCACAAAAAATCTTATTATTTCAATTAAAAAATTTTTCTAATATTAATGTATGTAATTTACGAAATAAATGATAATTTATTGATAATGAATCAAAAAAATTTGAATGTGATATATTAATATCATTTTAAATTGTATATTTAAATTTAATTACTTATTATTATCATATTATATATTATCATGCATTTTCATAACTAAAAAAATTTTCATAACTAAAAAATTCTTTTATGACTTGCTAATATTATAATATTTTTTCGTTTATCAAAACTGTGTTTTGTAATTCTTTGTTCTTCTTTATCTTTATTAAAGTGCAATTATTATGTTTTTTTTTGTAAATTTATTATAAATATTTTTTTATTTATTATTTTCAAACAAACAGAATTTCTAAAATGATATTATTTATGAAATAATTTAATACTAACAACTTTTATATATATTAATAATATTTTCTTCTGTATATGATTATTTTTTTTATATATCATTAAAATTAATAATATAGATAGCATATGAAGAGATCATATCAAAATATAAGAAATTCTATAAATATTTGCAATATGTTTTATTCATTATATATATATATGCAAATTAATATAATATTATAGAGATATTATTATTTATAAAAATATTTTAATAACATAAATAAATGTCATTTCCTTTAAATCAAACTTAATAATTATTTTTTAAACATAAATTATATTTTCTTCAATATGTACATAAAATAATAAATTAAAAAGAAATAGAAAACAAAGTATATTATTTTTTAAATAACTAATTGTATTCATTAAAATTATATATATAAATCATTAACTTCTCCTAAATTTGAATTTATTAATCATTTTTATCATTTTTATTATCATTATTCTTAATATAAATATTAATATATATTAATCTTACTACATGAATATAATTAATTTGTACATATTTTAAATAATTGTACAATTATTTTTCAATAATATTTTATTTGTCACACAATTCTATTTTTTATACTATAAAATTTATTAATAAAATAAAAAATCTTTTTTTGGTAAAATATAAAAAAATTATTTTCATAAGTAAAAATATTCATAAATTATCAATTTAAATTTGCAATTTAATTTATTACAGAAGTAATACAATTTCCTGTTCCAGTGCATGCATATACAATTTTGAAAAGCATACATTTTTTCTTTTGAAAAATAATTCTGTGTATATAAATAATTGTTTTTAATTTATCATACTTACGTTGATTCCAAATTCTATAAAACTGAATGTTTGTAACATAAAATTCTTTGAATTTTTTTTCTGGTATGATATTTATTAAAACTGCTAAAAAAATCGCACATTTCTACCATTACTGCTAATCAATTACTTAGATGAAATATATGCCTTGAAAAATGCATTTATGTTACAAAGATACTTTAAACAATTATAAAATTTGTTTCTCTGCTTTTTTTTAACATATAAGTCATAATTTCATGTATACAGAGAAAATATGAAATATATTTTGCATGTCAGGAAATTAATTTTTTACCATTTACACATTTTATGTAAAATAATAGTAAGTAATAATATATAAATTTTTATGTATTCTCTATATAATTGTCAGATCTTGTAAATAGTTAACAAAGATAAAGTAAAATTAATAGTTCATAATTATTTTTAACACAATTCAGCATCAGAATATTTTAGTATATATAGAGCAAAGATTATAGAAAATATAAAAATTTGTAAACTTTCAAGAATTCTTTGCTTAATGTTTTCTTTCCTTATTCTTAATTCAATATAATCCACTATTTTATGTTGTATTATTATGAACTTTTTGTTTAGATGCAATTAGTATACATTAATTATACATCAATTACAAAAAGTACTTTTATCTACTTTTTTGATATCTGCTCATCAACAAAGTTCAAATAACTAGAACCAACTTTAATGAATGCAAGTCCAGAACCAATGCCAATTATTGTACAAAGAGTTGGATTAGGTGGTACTATGGAACGAAGTACCGCCCATACTAAAACTGATCCAAAGCTCAGCAATACAGCACCGGCAGTACTAAAAATAAAAATTATAAAATTTATTAATACTTTAAGAAAAATTTAAATATATTACAATAAAAATATTTTACCTGTATAAGATTTTTACACCTGTGGGGGCACTTTTCATATGGTCACGAGTATATATATACGAGCCAGTGCCAAGAAGAGCACTTCCCAGTAAGAAATTTGTAATATCTTTCTTTGGAAAGATCCTATAAATATATGAAAAAAAGATAATTAACAAATTAAATAAAATAATAAAAAATTACATTATTTGATTAAAATAATTGAAATATAATTAAAATATATTTTCGTATATAGAAAATTATGATCAATTAATTTGTTAATCGAATAACATTGTATATAGGTCATGATATTTATATTTAACATAGTCATTTTTAATTGAGACGAAATTGATTATTTAAAATTTTTGAATAAATTCAAAAAATTCGTTAAAAAATATTTATCTCTAAAGATTACGTAACATTGTAAGAATGATAAAAATCTAAAATTTAAAAATATAATAGAGGTTAATGTTAAAGAATTGAATGAATTCATTATTATCTTACCTAATGACAAGACTGGGATTCATCACGTTGATAGACAATGCAGTGTATGAGGCAACACCGAAAGCAGGAGTGTAAAATTTTACGAGACTACATTTCGTAATTGGCTTCAAACCAAGTTTCTGCAAAATTGTGCCGGCACTCGTACTTCCTGCAGCAGCCATTGTTTGCTCGTCTTCACCAAACCGTTGTCAATGAGCTACTGACCAAATAATTGTAACTGTAACGTAATTTTATAAGTGTTTATACGAATTCAACCAAATGAACGACACTAAACAGATCAAATTTTATAGAACAAGGATAAAAAAAAATGGATTCCAATAGTGTGTTCGTAAATACATTAATGTATATATATCGCGTTATGTTCTAAAATTAAGTTATAAATAAAGTTGATTTAATTATAAATTTTTTTATTTATTTCCAAATATAATATTTCTTTTACATATCTTTTATATAATACTGTTTTCATCTCGTTGTCGAAGTATATATAATCTATTATTCAAAATTGCATTAGATTAAATATTTATTTAATTTATTAATTTATTAATAATTTAAAACTTTAATTATTTCACTAATTTAAGATAATGAATATAAATGAAAATAAGTTTATCTATATAAATATAATTTTCTATTAAGGATAACAAAATAAAACGATATTGTTCTTTGAATTGTTTGATTTAATTTTATTCTATTAATTTTATCCTTATTTACAAGTGCATATAAAGTCACTCATAATAATATATAAATATTATGAATATTATTATGTACTGATTAGATAAAACAGAATTTTTTTATCATATTATATATCTATAAATAAAATAAATATATAATCTGTATATATACAACAAAAGTGATAAAAGAAAATATATTCTGGTTTATTATTATTATTATTATTTTTCTTGCCCAACTTTAAAAGATGAAGTTGTTCTCTAAAAATCTTTTGTACTAATTAATGGCAGGCAGTGTAATAATAAACAAGATTATTCATTTCTTCAAAATTAATTTAGGAATTAACAGCTGGACCTAGCCTTATATGTGGTAAAGGATTAAACGGAGTAATATTACGAATTTCTTTTTCTACACAATTTGCATAAATATCGGCAGTCAACTCATTTAATGGAATTTCAGTATCTGTTTTTGCAGCTTTTACAGCATCATCTACTTGTTTTCTTATTTCATTCTCTATTGTCTAAAAAAAAAAAAAAATTTTAAATGATTTACATATGATATACATATAAGATTCAATATATAAATTTACTGAAAAAACAAACAAAACAAACAAACCTTTATTTCTTCTGGAGTAATAAGATTAGCATTCAATATTCGTTCTTTAAAACCAGTAATAGGATCTCTAGTTTGTCTTACTTCTTGAATTTCTTCTCTCGTACGATAACTTGTTCCAGGATCAGACATACTATGTCCACTATATCTATATGTTACAGTTTCTAACACAATAGGACCTTTTCCAGATGTACAATAATCAATAGCAAATTTAGTAGCTTGTTTGACTGCTAATACATCCATACCATCCACCTAATGAAACATTTAATCAATATAATTTGCAAAATAATAATATTGCAAAATAATTTTTCAAAAATATACCCATATTCCAGGAATATAATCTCCTCTTGTATAATAATCAGTACTTGCAGAAGCACGATCAACACTAGTACCCATGCCATATCCATTGTTTTCACAAACAAAAATACAAGGAACATCCCACAATTTAGCCATGTTGTATACTTCAAATACTTGACCTTGATTAGCAGCACCATCTCCATACAATGTAACACATACTCCTCCAGTATTATTATATTTATGAGCAAAGGCAATTCCTACTCCCAATGGCACCTATAAATTTTTGTAAATAGTACTCTTTTATAATTCATTTAGTAATTTTAATAATTATTACTCACTTGGGCACCAACAATACCATTTCCACCATAAAAATTGTCAGAATACATATGCATAGAACCACCTTTACCCTTTGCATTTCCTCCTTTTTTACCAGTTAATTCAGCTAAGACACCAAATGGATCTATTCCCATCAAGTAGGTCCATCCATGAGCTCTATAAGCTGTAATCACAGAATCTTGTGGTCGAAGAGCTGCTTTTATACCAACTGCACAAGCTTCCTACCAAAAAATAAAAAGATTTTATTAATAATAAAAAATAGTTATTATAATTAAAATTAAAAAAATATAATATAATTCTTACTTGACCAGAATATAGATGACAAAAACCTCTGACAATTTTTTCTTTATACAAATTTCCAGCAGCTGTTTCCATACGACGGATTGTATGTAATTTTTTGTAAAGTTCTATTGCTTCATCTTTAGTAACAGTAACTTGGGTTGAAGGTCCACTATCCAATTTATGTAATCGAAAAGGTTTTGTTTCAAATGAAGCTTCTGTAGCATAATTGTTTTTCTTATTGAAGAAGTATGATATCACCTACAAATATAAATCACAAACATATTCCTTACATTTCATTTTGTAAGATATATACAAATTATTGAAGATGATTTATAAAAATATATAAAGTAATAAAAAAATAAAATAAAAAATTACTTATAAATAATATAAATTTAAGAATCATGTTCATAAGATTGTATAAAATTTAAAAAATACACAAGTTTATTTTATGATTCTAAACTTACCATATTGTGATTAAAAATTCTTGCAGAAAAACAAAAAAAGAAAAAAAAATTGAATACAATGTAAAAAAAAAATTATTGGTATAATAAACGCACGAATAAATATCTCATATTTAATGATATTTATACAACTAATACGAATAATTACCTCATTCCAGCTGCCGAACTGGTAAGACACCAGGAGGAAATATAAAAAAAAAAAGAACGAGTATTCAATGTAAGACTCGATAGATTGTACGATTAAAAATTGTAACAAGAGTCTAGCATAAAACGTGTTGGCAAGTATTTAGTTTAAAGGTCATTTATCGTTCGGTCATATACTCACATTTCGTTTCGACGTTTGGACACTTATATGTCTGATATAGTTAGGTATCATTTTTAAATGATTTTTGTAATTAATTGTAAACAAGAAAAATTATTTAATGGAAAATATAAATTAATATACAAAGTAAATCTAATTTAGAAAAGAGAACAATCATTCGTATGGCGCGGATAGTATCGTAAGACCTGATTTGTAAACGTCACAAGTTGATTCGTATCCCCTCCATAATCGTCATTAAAAATGTTGAATAATATGACATAATGAGTGATCAAAAATGAGGATACATATGTACATAAATAAATAAATATATATATAGAAAAAGCAAAAATAAAATATATATATTAATAACTAAATGTATAATTAAAAATACAAAATATATTGATTGAATATATTATAAATGTTTAATATATTGTTGATTTTATATATATATATATATATATATGTAAATACTAAACAATATAACTAAATAATATAATAATAAATTAATATTAAACTACAATAATGAAGTTAATAATAACTACAATAATAAGAATAATAAAAATAAATAATTTATTTTAAAAATAATGTTTTAATAATAAGATATTTATTTTATTAATTATATAAATATAAATATATTTATTTTTTATTAAATATAAATATATAAATATAATTATTTATTTATATAAATATAATTAACGAAAAAAAATATAATTAAAGAAACTTATGAAAGTGTAGTTAAAGTTATAGAGTTAAAAAAATGACTTGATGTTAAAAAATATTTAACTCATATAATTAACAAATTATGATATCAATTTTACAATGTTTTCTATTTACTTTTGTTAATATAACAATATTAATACAATTTTATATAATATTTATTTTTTTATTTTACAAGAAATGAATAAAAAAAATATAAAAAAGAAAATTCAAAATAAGAAAATAATGCATTTAAATAAATCCTTTTTTTATAAATTTATATAGAAAATTATTTCGAAAATATGTTTTATAAAATTAATATTACATTGTTGCAATAAAATATCTTGCTTATATATAATTGGAAAGTTTATATGATATTAATTGACAAAATGCTCAAAATATGTTTAAAAAAATATAAACTATTTTATCGATTTATTTATATATAAAATTAGTTATATATAAAATAATAATTTAGTTATATATAAAATTATTTCTAAAATATCTATAAAGAAAGTAAATAAATTTTTTTTAACAGAGAAAATCTTATTTTATGAAGAATTTTCTAATATGGTAACATTTATGATACAAGGAGGTGTAAATTGTACATAATGTATGGTATTTTTCATATTGATATATGTAGAAGAAATGGTTATTATAATACCAAAAAGTACAATCAAATAACTAAAGCAATTATTCCATTTTTTATAATTATAATATATGGTTGATTCTGAAATTGGCTCTTCTGGAATTATAATTTGTTTATAAATATTATAAGGTTGACTGGCATCTATAAATATTGGTTTGTCATCATAAATTCTTTTTGTCATCAAAAATTTCTCAGAATCTACGATATCATTTTCATAATTCACAATTTCGTCTAATTCATTTTCTAATTCACTATAATAAACATATGAATATCGATGATATTCAGTTCTAGGTATATTTAAAACTCCATAATAAATTGATTTTGAATGGATTCTTGGATTGGTTGACATATCTTTACTGCTTTGGCATCTCTCAGAACTCGAATATATCTCAGGAATTAAAGATCGAATCTTTTTGGATTTTGTTTTTAAGGCAATTATTTTTGAGTATAATAAAGGTGGAAATACAAATACTAATAAACCAGTTAAAGATCCTCCAATCAATACCATTACAATATCAAATCTTGGTACAGATTCTCCTACTGCTACTCCAAGAAAAACAATAGCTGATCTTATGAGACATCGTTTCCATCCAAAATCTATAATAAAATATAAATTTCATTAATCAACTTTTTTTTAGCTATTATTCTCTTTATTTATTTTTATTTTTTAGGATATCATACTTCTTTTAATATTACATTGATCTTCTAAATCTTGAAAAAGAGTTGAATGACTAAGAACACTAGAAAGACATAATTGAAGAGCCGCAATAAGAACGACAATACTCATTATGAAATTTCCTGGAATTAATTGTAGGATATTGGCTGTTATACTACTTCCATATTTCCATACAGCCAAAATAGTAGTAATAAGAAACAATGAACCAGTGACTATAATAATAGCATTATTAATTATCACTGTGATCAATTAAAATATGAAGAAATTTGTCAATTTATTTACCTAAGAAAGAAATTACAATTGCTTTATTGATATCTTGAGGATGACGCATATCCACTTGTACAGTCATCAATGTTGGATGTATATCAAATTGAAATGCTAACATTCCATAACTGAAAATTATATAATAAACAAAAAATGATATTATATAATTAATAAATAATCATACCTAGAAATGAACTTATCCCAAGAAGGAGAAGTAAGTATTGGAATAATATCAAGTTCTCGAGTATCAGTAATTATGCACCACCATATCAATAGTGCTGTTAATAAAACTGTCGTGCAAGAAAATAAGCTTATTATCCTGTAAATATTTATAATATTTAAATATTATACTTTAGTTTAATATGACATAGAATTTTGATAGAATTTGGGAGAAAATTACTTCATATCACGAGGACTGCCAAGCCACATAATTGGACATAAAAGAATACCTACGATTAAAAGCCAATAACAGAAAGATAAATTAAATTGTTGTCCCGAAATTTTTAAACCAAAGATTTGTAAATTCTGCGAAGCTGAAATTTATTACAGATATTAAATATAAACAAAATTTTATATAAAAATCATTTATTTAATTTATTTAAACTTACCAACTAATAAGTTAGGTATACTACATCCAAAAATTGTAAGATCCAGGATTATAGTGATTAAACTTCTCGCCCGAGAACCCAAGGTCAATTCAGTTACAGCTGCAAGAGGATTTCTATAAAATTAATTCAAATCAATATTATTAATAATAGATATAAAAAAATTAAAGTTTAATAATAAATTAATAGATATAAAAAATTAAATTTTACCGATTTTTTCTTAAAATTTGTGGATCTATTGTAGTTGCAATAATCCATGATTTGCCAAGAAGAATAGCCGTATAAATTTGCAAAGCCAATACAATAAAAACCAAAGGAATTCCATATAATCCTAAAATATAATTTTCTTATTTTTTTTTATTATTTAATATTAAATAAATATAATTAAATATATATATATAATTTTATAAAAAAAAATTTAGCATATAATAAATACATAATCACAATAATTTATGACACATATAATGACTATTGATAGCTAAAAATAAATTGAATAATAAAAGAATATTTATAAAAAGTTAACCAACTTTATTTTTCTTTAAAATGATCAACTTTTTTACACGATGTTTCACACTCCAAATTTTCCCATATAATGACTATAATTGAATAGTAAATATAATAAATCAATTATATAAATTGTTTCAATTTAAATAAATTTTGTAAAAAAAGCTTAATTATATAATAATTATAATTTATTTATAAGATATAGTAAATAAAACGAAGATGAATTCAAAACACAAAAATAAGTTGAAAATAAAATAAATAAATTTTTTCATTGAAGCCATAATTTGTGATTAGATATACAAATTCGAATTTTCTAAAAATATGATTTTAAATAAAATGATTTTGTTTTATATTTTCAATCCATTTTTGTATATAAAATAATAATTTTTGATAATTTTCTATTTATATTTATTAAAAAAATTAATTGAATTTGTGTGAAAGTTTCTTCTCGTTACACTTATTCAATAATAAGACTTCAAATGAAAAAAATTTATATTATTTTTTTCTTATTTATTATTTTTGTTTTAAATTCTTTTCTTTGTACCTTTTATAACAAAACTGTTTGTGTGTGCACATATATACATATATATAAATATATATATAATATTAATTAATTATATTAATATTAATAAATTAATTAATATTAATATCAATATTATCACACGTTATAGAATAATCGTTTATGTATATATTATAAAAGAAACGAGTCATTTAATGCTAAAATATTAACTTAATAAAGAAGAAATTATTTACACAAATATCAATGTTACGAAAAAAAAAGATCACTTTCTTCTTGAACATTTATAATTTTTTTTCAATAGTTAGATTAAAATGAAATGCGAAAAGGAGACAAAAAATAAAATAATACGAAAAAAGATAAAAATAATAGAGACTTACCGCATTGCACAATTGAACGCGGTAATGCGATAATCGGAAAAATGCCGAAAATGTCGATAACGCATAATGTGGCAAATAGGAGTGATAAATCCGAGTTTACATCTTTGAAAAGTAGTGGAAGTCTCTCGCGATTCATGATAGAAAATATTTCGTACTATCCGACATCGATGCATGTAGAATGTGAACCGGTTTTCTGTTTTGTAGTAACAAATACTGTATCAGAAGGTAATATGATACTTTATCGAGCGTATGTCTTAGCTAGATACAGCAATAGCGACGAAGGAAGACCCTCAACATATTAACATTTCTTCCTTCAAAGCTACATAACAAGAAATATAGTATGAAGCGGCAAGATCTATGTTGAACATAAAATTCAAATATAAATAATATGCTCGACATGATATATGCATTTTGTAATATAAAAAATACCTTTTAAATGGCATTGATAAATCGTATATTGATATCTGTATATTGTACCAACGATTGTTAATTTTATCATATGAATCTGCTTGATGATTTCTTCTTGATGATTACTTAAACAATATTGATCTTTTTGAATATTACTATCCCATACTCATTTTAACCAAATTTGATTCGAAGTCATTTCTTCTTTAAAAAGAAACAAAAATATTCTCCGACCTAATTAAGATATTTACTCGAGAATTAAGAAAATCATGCATAAATTTATATATGAAATTAGAAAAATTGAGGATTAAAATGTGATAATTTTTCATATTTATATCTAATCCATAGTAAATATTCAATAATAAAAAATCATATAAATAAATATAATACTTTTTAATCATCTGTTTCGTAAGCTGGAGATGCAGGGGAATACGTGGGGCTCGTTGGAGAATAACCCGGTACTGGTGGAGAATACGTTGGACTCGTCGGCGAATAACTTGGACTAGTCGGTGTATACGTTGGACTGGTAGGTGAATATTTGGTACTCGACGGTGAATATTGAGGACTTGTAGGCGAATATGTTGGACTAGTTGGGGAATAATTTGGACTACTAGGTGAATATCTTGTACTTCCTGATGCTGTGTGTTGTGGTGAACTAGGTGAATATGATGGACTCGTTGGTGAATATGTTGGACTTGTTGGAGAATATGTTGGACTCGCTGGTGTATATTGTGGCGAAGTTCCAGCAAATGATGGAGACGTAGGTGAATACGATGGACTCGTTGGAGAATATTTTGGACTACTCGGTGAATAACTTGGACTAGCTGGCGAATATTGTGGAGAACTTGGTGAATAACTTGGACTCGTTGGAGAATAAGATGGTGAAGCAGGTGTGTAATTTGGTGAACTTGGTGAATAACTTGGACTAGTTGGTGAATAACTTGGACTTGTTGGTGAATAGCTCGGTGACGTTGGTGAATATGATGGACTTGTTGGAGAATAACTTGGCGATGTTGGTGAATAACTTGGACTTGTAGGAGAATAACTTGGACTTGTTGGCGAGTAGCTTGGACTTGTTGGCGAATAACTTGGGCTTGTTGGTGAATAACTTGGACTAGTTGGTGAATAACTCGGACTTGTTGGTGAATAACTTGGTGATGTTGGTGAGTAACTTGGACTTGTTGGTGAATAACTTGGTGATGTTGGTGAATAACTTGGACTCGTTGGTGAATAACTTGGACTTGTTGGTGAATAGTTTGGACTAGTAGGTGAATAAGTGGGACTTGTAGGTGAATAGTTTGGACTCGACGGTGTTATACTAGGCGACGTTGGCAAATAGGCTGGAGATGTAGGTGAATAACTTGGTGAAGCGCCACCTGCTGGTGACATTGGATATGGACTCATGCTAGGTCCTGGACTTCCTGGACTTCCAGGTTGTGGAGAGTATGCAGAATATGCAGGAGAAAGCCCTGAAGCATCTGATGCTCCTGATGGCGAGAAACATGCTCCTCCTGGTGTCATACCACTTCCCAATGCTATATAAAAAAAATAAGAATCATTTATAATATGAAATTTAATACATGTTTCAATATTAGAATGATATAAAATTATAAAAAAATATGCATACCAGGTGACATACTTGAAGCCCCATAACCAGGTGTGGCACCCATCCAAGGTGTCATTTGAGGACTCATACTTGGTGTAGCAACACTACCAAAGAACATTCCAGCAGTTCCCATCACACCAGCACCTACTGCCATTGGTATTTCAATACCGACCTTACATTTCTCGGCATCCAATAGCAAATCGAAACATCCTAAAAAAATAAAATCAAATATATATATTAGTGTAATAATTTTAAATTTATTCGTAATAATAATAATAATAATAATAATAATAATAATAATAATAATAATAATAATACTGATTAAAATTAGCAATACCTGTTCCTATACGTGGAAGTTGTCCCATGATAATATTTTCTGATACTCCTCTCATTGGATCTACTTCTGCATGAGACGCAGCATCCAATAGAACATCTACTGTTTCTTCGAAGGAACATCTGAGAAATAAAACATAAATTATAAAAATTACATGAAACGATTTTATAATTAATTTTTTTATAATTTACCTCATAAGAGCACCAGTATCTTGTCTATTAATTCCATGACGAGTTATAGCCATTAAATGTCCTTTAGCAGTCATTACGTCACAAAGCAAAGCAAGGTGACGATAGTTTACGTAAAGACCGTAAAATTGCAACACAGCGTTCATTTCTTTTTCTACTGATTTTCTCACAGCCTCTATACCTAATACTTGAAATATCTCACAAATATCATTGCTAAATGTTCTAACTGGATCAACATCTCTTTCACTCAATACTTTCATCAAACTTGTACCATCCGTTTCTAATAACCATTCTGCTATTGCTTTAAATTCACCAGTTTCTGTGATAACTATACGTTTCTTAGCATCAGTTTGAGGTAAATGCATGTACACTTTTCCAATTGCTTCAATACCCTATGTATAAAGAAAATAATTATAATTATTTTATTATAATTATAATTAAATTAATTATTTATTAATTAAATAAATAAAATAATAAATTAAGTTAAAAATTATAAATTATTGAAATTAAAGATTATTATGAACACACTTGTAATGTCATGTCACTAAGCATATTTGCTTCAATACATCGAAGAAACATATCATCCTCCATTTTATCAACAGTTTCTTCCTCGCTATCTTGAAATTTGTTATCATCGCTATTCATTATTCTAATTCGAAGAACTAATTTTTCGGCATTATCATCATTAAATATACAGTTTAAATCGTCACCGAAGCCAGCATTGATCTTTTCCGCAATTTGTTCCATAGTTAACTTCTTATCGGTCATCCTCTTGCGATCTAATTCAATTCGAAGTAACCATGGTGATATTTTATTTGGATCAAAATCAGGCATTTCATAGTAAACGTTTACAAATTCTTGATCTTCTGCGATTACGGTATTTTGTGGATCTGGATCATAATAAATCGCAGTGTTTGCTGTAACTTTTCTTAATGTAGTATGTTCTAATCGGCAAAGTACATTTTTTGCTTTTTCAGCATCTCTTGCTGCAGCTCCCGTCAAAAATACAGTCAACGATGGAGCTTTTGGTTTCTTACTGATATTTATAATTTCTTTTAATCTTGGCACACCGAGAGTTACATTTTTTGATGATACACCAGCAAAGTGAAAAGTATTAAGTGTCATTTGAGTTGCAGGTTCACCAAGTGATTGTGCGGCTAAAGCACCTACCATTTCTCCAGGTGATACCTAAGTAAAATGAAAAAATTGAGTTTAAACATAGAATTTAATTTTTAAGTCTATTTTCATATAAATATATAATTATAATTATATGTGCATAATTTATTTTATTATATATTATTATGTATATATATATTTATGGATATGATATTCATGATTTTCAATATGATGTTCAAATACTTATTGAAAGATTTATTATATATCAAAAGATTAAAGATTCAGAAATAACATATATTAATCTTGCCATAATAGCTGCTAAATTATATCATTAATGACAATAATTAGATATTAAAATTATTCAAACTGATATCAAACCTCAAAAATTTTAATTAATATATAAATGAATACATTTAATGAAAAGAATTGAATTTAATAATCATATATTAATATATATTTATTAATATCTAATATAAAAAAAAAAATCAAAAATAACGAAAATATTATGTGTATATATAGTATATTTAAAATATCAATAAGAAATATTAATTAAAATATTAATATTTGAATTGCAAATATATCGATTCTATCCGAAATATATAGATTTATAAAGTTTTAAAATAAATATAATTTATGATTTAATTTTAATATTCAAAAAAATCATGCAATGCCATGATATTTTATTATTAGAAATTGATATTATTTGAAAAATATAATTGATTTATCACTATATATATATATATAATTCATTTCCTACAAACCTGTGCTTGTTGGAATCTAGTTTCAATTTCTCCAATAAGCCATTCAAAAGCTTCACTGGATAATCTAAATTCTTCAGAAACACATTTTGTACATAAAGTAGATCTTACTAAACATTGGAATAATAATGTAGCATTTTCATTAGCTTGTTTGCTAAGTCTATCATCACCAGCTACAATAATGCATTTATCCAAAAGATCTTTCACACCTAGAAATAAAAACATTTTAATTTTAAAATAATTATAAAATTATTTAATATAGAATGCAACATAATCATGATAAAATTATCAGATTATTTACCTTGTATGACTTTCATAGGACTAAGATCGGTAGGTGCACGCTTATTTATATGAAAAATCTTTTGTACGTTCCAAATCATTCTTTGCAAATTACAAGGCAATACTACTTTCGATTCTCCGCTAGGGAAAATCTCTCGAAGTACAGCACGATCTTTGTTTAACTGTTCCCATTCTCTTTCTAATTCAGATATTACTTCACCAGATCCCATCATTTCTCTAACAATATCTTCATTGAAAATACGACGAAGATATCTTTCATTAGTTGGATCAAATTTGAATTTTTTCTCAAATGCTTTATTGCTCAATTTAATAGTAGGTAGATTCTGAAATTCAACAGTTTCACCACATAAACCGTCTTCACCATAACGTAATTGAATAAGTTGTCCCACAGAATTTCTAACTGTTCCATCATAATGCACCATTACAGATTCCATAGCTTTTATTAAACGACGTTGAATGTAACCAGTTTCTGCAGTTTTTACAGCAGTATCGATAAGACCTTCACGACCACCCATAGCATGAAAATAAAATTCAGATGGAGTCAAACCAGCAAGATACGAATTTTCGACGAATCCTCTGGATTCAGGACCATAATCATCCTTAATAAAATGTGGCAACGTTCGTTTACGAAAACCAAATGGAATACGTTTACCTTCTACATTTTGTTGGCCGACACAAGCAATAACTTGAGAAATATTAATATTAGATCCTTTTGATCCTGATACTACCATAGCCTTTAAATTATTGTATTCTGTCAGAGATTTTTTGGCAGAACCACCAGTTTTGTCACGAGCATCATTCAGAATTCTGTTTACTTGGTTTTCAAAAGTCTGTCTTAAGGTATTACCTGGTGTAGGTTCTAATTCCATATTGTGTGCTTTTTGAATAACTTCTATCACATCTTCTTTGGCCTTCTTGATGGCTTTCTGAATTTCCAAATAAGTCTGTGGATCAGCAATAGTATCTCCAATACCAATTGAATGACCTTCCAAAAGTAACCAATTGTTAATTACAGTTTGAATATTTCCATAAAATCGTCCACAGACTTCGTGTCCCAATTCTAACATACAAATGTGAAGTAATGACCCAGCAGATGTACCTAAAGTTTTTTTACAAAGTATACCCATAACAAGTTCTCCATGTTCTACCATGACTTTGGTATCACCAGGAGAAATCCATTTGTATGGTCCATCATCTTCTTCATCTGGATGTGTGCTATGAGTTCTTATCATATTTACATTGCCTGGTATAATCAAGGAAAAAATTTGTTTACCAGTCCATAGAGGTTTTGGTTTTAGTATGCAAGGTTGAGGCATTTTGCCATCCCAACTAGGTAAAAACATAAGAATATTCATCATTTGTTCTTTTTCAATAAAAACATCTCTTTTAGTCATTTTTCTTACAGCAGTAAGTGTATCTTGTACAATACCCATAACTGGTTTATTAGCTTGTGGCGTAATAATTTGACGCGGTGTTACATGAATATTTTCTACTTCTGCACGAGTCTCCATTGATTGTGGGGCATGTAAATTCATTTCATCACCATCGAAATCGGCATTATATGGTGATGTACAACTAAGATTCATACGAAATGTACTCCATGGTAAGACTTTCACCCTATGACCCATCATACTCATTTTATGTAATGTCGGTTGTCGATTGAAAATTACTAAATCGCCATCTCGGATATGACGTTCCACTCTATAACCGCATTGCAAATGTAGATCGGATGGTTTTGGATGAAATCTCAAATCAATTCTTTCTCCATTATCTCGAACAATATATTTAGCTCCTGGATATTGCGAATTTCCACGTCTAACAAGTTCTTGCATTTTGTCAATATTAAAAGGCGTTACAATTTCAGGAAATGTTAAATTTTGAGCAATGCTTCTAGGCACGCCCACTTGATCAATTCGTAAATTAGGATCAGGAGTAATAACAGTACGAGCAGAGAAATCAACACGTTTACCCATCAAATTTCCCCGTATTCTGCCTTCCTTTCCTTTTAATCTTGCTTTTATAGCTTTTAGAGGTTTACCTGATTTTTGCATAGCTCTTGGCATACCAGGCATATCGTTATCAACTAATGTTGCTACATGAAATTGTAACATTTTTATATTTTCTGATATCACATGAGCTGCTGCGCCAGCTTGTTCATTTCTAATTAATTCATTATTTGCTTTTATAATATCAGCAAGCTTGTGTGTTAAATCATCTTGATTTTTAGCAGAACCATACATAATAACTGCTGGTCTAACTGATAAAGGTGGAACAGGTAAAACAGTTACTACCATCCAATCTGGTCGTGCAAATTTTGGATCCATACCAAGAATAAATGATTCTTCATCTGTAATATGCTTTAAAATCTCCCAAGCTCTTTCTGCTGTAAGTGCCATTTTTTTTTCTTGTGAATCTTCATTTACATGTGTCCATTCAGCAGTAACATCTAAACCAGATCTCCGAAGATTTGGTTGATATCTACCACATCCACCATGTCCAGGTTTTCTTTCTATAGATTGCTGTTCCTGATTTTCTTTATTAATATCCATTTCATCACCACCCTCACAAATGTTTTTACTTTTACATAAATCATAAACAAATGTAAGACGTTTTCGTGGTTGACCTTTAGTTTTCATAACAATTTCTTTAATTTTTGGATTATGCTGTAAATAAGAAAATACAAATTTAGTTTTAGCTACAAATAATAATAAATATAAACAAAATTTTAATTATGTATAATCTACTTACTGGACTAACAAGAAGTTTTGAACAATAAAAACATACACATCTTAAGATTTTTATTGTTTTTGTTATAAAACCAACATGAAAAACTGGCTTTGCCAAATCTATATGACCAAAATGTCCTGGACATTCTGTCATATTACCCGCACATGTTTGACATCTAGAATTTCTATCAATGACACCTTGTCTTGGATCCATAAGTCCACCAAGTTTTGGGCGACCACCTTCCATAGTTTCTGGAAAACGAATACCGCCATCTGTGACGGACATCCGACGCTATACAAAACATTAAACAAAATTATATATATCTATATCTATATGTGATTGAAAATTTACAATATATATTAAGCAAAAAAAATTTTAAATATATTATTGCCAGTTATTAGCAAAATAATAAATATATATATATATAAACTACTTTATAAAAGATTTTTATAAAAGATTTTATATTTAACACATTTATGTACAAACAGATATATAATATAATTGTATGATTATTAGAAAATTATTAAAGAAAAAATACAATTATATATTTATAAATAAACTTTGGTTTATTGTTAAGATCATAATTTTACAAAAATAATTTATTTTAAATTTGATTATTTTAAATTTTATATTTACTAATATTTAATTTTATTTACTTAAAATGAAACTTTTTAACTTCTTATATTAAAAAAATTATAATTGATTAATTTTAAAAAAACTAATTAAATTAATTTTAGATATCATAAATAAAATTTATATTGAATACTTTATATAATAAATTTATTCCATATTTTATGATCTTAAGTAATATTTCTTTAGAAATATAATAAATATCGTTGAAAATCACACACGCAACTGTTTGATTAACATTGAATATTTTGATAAAGTTTCGTATGATATAGATAAATTCATAATGAAATAGTTCCGCACAGAAAAAAACATATTGCACAGTATTATTTATTTACAAATCACAAACTTACTATTTCATCGGGAGAAAGAATGCCAAATTGGACTCTTTTTACAGTTCGCAGAGGTGCTTTAGAATCGGACGTAGCCATTTTGCAATGAATGAATATAGCTTCTCCCGCGGCCTTCTACGTCGCGACTCCTAACTGTTCTTTCTTGATGAAGATATCTCTCTTCCCTACAAACTTACCACATGCTAGAGACAAAATGGCTACTAATGATGTCACAAAGTAAGTGAGGAAATTGTACGAAAACGATTTTATTAATTTACAAAGAATGAATAAGAATTTTAAGATTAAAAAAAATAATTATTAAAGAAAAGATTATTGGAATATGAAGCAAATCATATCGAGTCTTTGGCGTCATACCCACACATTATTTTATTTCTGTTATTCTGACGTTACTAGCAACCATTTTATCCCGGCAAATTTTATTTCCCTTCACATGTTGCTATTTTAGTATTTTAATTTAATAGTATTTAATTTTTTAAACTATTTATCTAAATACATGTAAATTCTGAAATATATTATTCATATTTATATCTCAAACTAATCAAAATTGAAATAAAAATTTATATTATTTTAATTTATTTTGAAAACATTAATTGTTTTAAAATTGTTGACGTTTTTTATATTTTAAAAAAAATTAAATTTTAGAACAAAATTTTGGAATAAAAATTGTTAATTTTTTTTGTATCCTCTAATAATTTTTAAAGAATTCAAAAATGTTAATTTTAACTTTAAAAATTTATTAAAAAATTTAAAAATTATTCGTGTATAAGTTAGTATTTTTTAAATGTTTTGACAGGTTATTAGGACCGTGTAATATATATCTATAATTCATTCAATGATCAACATTATTATCTATAGGTAACAGCTATTTAAACTTATTAAATAAAGTCTTTAAAATACTAAATTAGATTTTTTGTGCTATAGATGACTAGCAATATCAGTAATTATTTTAGAAAGTTATTTTTGTTTCAATGTTAAATCGATTTATATTTAATAATTATAATAATAATTTATATTTACAAAATAATTATTGCATATATTGTGTATGTGTGTGTGTGTGTGTGCACGCTTGTGTGTGTGTAAATCATTAAAAAAAAATAAAACATATTCAATATATTTATATAGCTCAATTTAATTTATTCATATGGAAATAATGATTTCATTTATTGAACGAATTATATATATAAATTAATCTAGCATCTTAATAATCTATCAAATATGCTTAAAATCATTAACTTTACATATAAATAACTTTTGAATCGAGATTTCTAAAATTTAATATTAATATTTTTGAATTTTATTCATCAAAAATTATTAGAAAATATACAAAATATACAAAAAGTTAATAAAATTCCAAAAAAAAAATTTAATTAAAAAATTAAAAAAGTTTGATCTTTAAAAAGAATATTTTCATTTTTAATTTTTAAATAGTAATTTAATTTAATTTAATTTATTGTTTTCTTTCTGATACAAAATTCTATTAACAAAAAATGTTACAGAAAAGACATGTTTATTTTATCTCTTATTTTAATCTTAATTGCATGCAGTATTTATTTTAATCTTTTTTTATATCTACGATTATATTTAAAATATCAAAATATCAAAATAATGTCATAAATCTGATAATTTGTTTACTTGTGTACTTATAACTTAAACTTATACTATAAAGTTTATATTTATAACATGTTTATATAAAACTAAATTTTATAAAAACTATTATATAAATAAACTATATAAATATACTATATAAATAAACTATATATTTGTTTATTTGTTATATATTAAAAAATATTTGTATTTTACAATTTTCATATCTTAAATTAAATTATTCTTTAAATTATTCTTTGATTTCATTTTTTATATCTATCATATTATATATATATAATATATATAGAAATTAAAAATTGCACCTTTTCTATTTTCCATTTGATTATTATTGATGGATTACAATTATGTTCTATTTGGCAGTCATTCATCTATATATTTTCATATTTTTTGTGAAGATTTTTTTCTTTTATATCTTTATATTTATTATTTATATTTATATATTTTATATATTTTATTATTTTATATATTATTATATATTTTATCGTGACATTGTTGTAAGCTCTTTCTATATTTATAAATAGTATCAGAATTTTCTTGTATTTTTTAGATCCTATTTTTATGTCTGCAATCAGATTAGCATAATTGTTCATTATGTCCTTATTCTTTCTAAATTCATTTGTTTATGATTTCAATTCTTATGATTCTCAATTCTATTTGTTTATGATTTTTTTTTAAATTTATTATAATATCTTTTTATTTGTCCCTTTTAAATAACTGTTGTTATATTTTTTTCATTCTTCTGGTATTTTTTCTTTATTCTAAATTTTATTATAAATTTTTTCACTATATTTTTATTTTTTATATTCTGAAATGGATTTTTTAATAATTTTGTTGTTAATATCCCTCTTTTATCTTTTATTCTATTAAAAGATGAGTTTTATTCTCATCTATTTTTTTTCTTTTTATTTTGTTACTTTATTTTTTTAATTCCTATATATTCCTATATTCCTATATTCTTGTATATTATCATCTTTTATTCTTTTTTTTTTCTGTTTTGCTGTTTTTTATTATTTCCTGTTTCAAATTGATAGCAGTTCATTGAACTTATTTCTTCTGGTATCTGGTATAGATGGTATAGATTTATATCTTCTGATAAAATATTTTTTTTTTTATTTCTTTTTCTATTTCTTTTTTCTTCTTGATAGAAACATATTTTCTATTGAATTTTTTTTTTTTTTTTCATATAACTTAATATCACAAGCTTATTTTGTTCTGTGATCTATGCTCTCAATGAAATCCTTTGAGGCTTTCTTTCTTTTTTTCTCTTTAATTATTATTTTATTTTTCTTTTCACTTTTTTTTTTCATCTATTCCAATTTTTTTATATTGATTTTTTTTTTATATATTCTTTTTTATTTTCTTTATCACATCCCATTATATATGCTTTTTTATATTCATTAAAGTTTCCTTTCTTCTTTTATTTTCTATTTTTTCTTTTATTTTTTATCCTTTCTTTTTTATTCTCTAAAAATTTATTCTAAAATTCTAAAATTTCATTCTCTAACTAAAAATTATTTTTAATTTTTCTAAAATTTTTAAATCTTGTAATAGTTTTTATTAATTCTTAATAATTCTTAATAATTTTATTAAATTTAATAAAAATTTCACGAAAACTAAGATAATCATATAAAATATCATATTAATTAAAATATCCTGAATACTACTTGTCAAAATTTGTAAAAAATTATAAAAGAAATTTCACAATTTTTAATACCTAGAAAGTTAAAGTATAAAAACTTAATAAATAATAAAGTAGAGTTGAATAAAATTTATAAATCCAGTCAATTTTTATGAAAGTAAATAATAATAAATTATATATTTTGTAATGTATAAATTATATATTATATAATATAAAGTTTAACAAAATTGTTAATGCAATTAATTTTATTAAAATAAATAATAATAAAAATTAATATTTGTGAATATCATTTATTATTTGTGAATACAATTTTTATTATATCTTATAAAGCAAGCAATAAAATAAAATAAGTTTCAAGAAAAAAAATCTAATTGATAGTTTTAAATAACACATTTATTTCTTCTTAAGCTGTTCTTAAACTTAAATTAATAATTTTCTTAAACTTATTATAATACGATTTAACAAATAAGAAATAAATTATAACTTTAATAAATAATTTTAATTATAAATTGAACTATGTAATAAATATAATTAAATTTATTGAATTATTAATAAACTTTATATTTTATATATTATATAACATTATATTTGTTCATGCTCAATCGGAAACATAGCAGCCAATGCTATTGTTGCGGTTCGATTAGGTTACATGCTTCGTGATTAGCGTTTTTTTATTAATAACTTGTTAACATAGCCGTAACGAAAATTTTTGCAAAAGAAAATATTGTTTAAAAAATCTTTAGTTTACATTCTAATATTTTTTATATTCTAATGTTATATCCTGTATATCATGTTTTAAAAGATTAATAAAATGATTAAAAAAATATTTTTATTACTAAATAATTAATAAATAAATTTTTACTAAAATTTTTTAATTTTTTTATATTAATATCATATGTACATATAATATCATATATCATATATACATATATATACATATATATATATATCATAAATAATAATATTTTGTGAAAGACGAATGAATTATATTTAAAATTTTATATATATTTATTATATTATATATATTAATTTTATATATAAAATTAAACATGTTTACAATTATAACAATATGTTTAAAGCGGATACATAATATATGCAATTATATATATATATTTATATAATGTAATTTATATATTAAACCGTACTGACATATAATTATTTCATCAACCAATAACTAAATTTAGAATATGTGTTATATATTTTGATTTGCTTATTTCTAGTAACTCTATTCGATCGAATATCCATAGATACGAATATATGCCACGATTTTCTTTCATGTCAGTAATTACAAAAAATAAATTATTTAGTAATAAAAATACTAACTAGTGACTTTTATGTAGAAGCATTAGTCATAGTCATATTTGATATTTGTCTTTAGTAAGAAGAATAAGAAAGTCAAGATAAAATAATTAAAAATGGCTACTTCTAAAACAACAAATATGTATAATAGGCAAAATTGGGAAGATGCAGTAAGTATAATCAAATATTTGAATAATCATTTGAAATGAAATTTTAAATATTTGTTTATTTTTTTTCTTTTTAGGAATTTCCAATATTATGTCAAACTTGTTTGGGTGACAATCCATATATTCGAATGGTAGGTAAATTTTATAAAAATTTTAATTAATTTTAATTTTTCTAAAATACATTTTAATATAATTTACTTTTTATGTTTGTATTTACAGACAAAAGAAAGATATGGAAAAGAATGTAAAATATGCATGCGTCCATTTACAGTATTCAGGTGGTGTCCAGGTGCAAGAATGCGATTTAAAAAAACTGAAGTTTGTCAAACTTGTAGTCGTTTGAAAAATGTCTGTCAAACATGTTTACTTGATTTAGAATATGGTTTGCCAATTCAAGTACGTGATGCAGCACTTAAAATCAAAGATGATTTACCAAGATCAGATGTAAACAAAGAA